CGCCGAAGAGCCATTGCTGTAAGACGCCGTACACCCGCTTTCTCCAGGGAGACTGAGAACAGTGTGGGTCGATGTCGAGCGAATCAGGAAACGGCACACCTACCTGGAGCTGTAGTCAGAATGCTTGAACAAGCCCCCGGGAGCCTCCGCCAGTCGAGGAAGTGTCGAGAGTGATATTGATAGCTGGTTGAATAACGGAAGGGGTTGAGGTGGTTCAAAGTCTTTGGGGCTCCGCAGTTACGACCAGCAACGGCCAGCTCGAGATGCGGGATGCCGCGGCAGAGTTCATTTTTGCGGGGTAAATTGCTCAACGTCGGGTAAACACGGGCATGCCGACGTAGTTGGATGTGGACTTAGTACAAGTGGAGTAAGTGGAGGGCGTCCAGCCAAGGCGGAGCTGTTCTCTCGGAACTTGGAAGGTGTTATCCAAGTATTATCTCTGGGTCTGAGAATGACAGTTGGCCGCGCTCGCGCGAGACACCCGTCACATCGGGCAAGACAACTGAATGAAGAAGGAATCGGGACGACGCCAGGGTGTCGTTGACCCAACGTTGACCTGCGTGTTGGAAACGATAGCGGATGATGGCGTGGCGAAATAGGCGAAATGAACGCCGTTGAGTCTGAGTCCGAGTACAGAACGTGGCAATGACAGGAGGGGTAACACAGCGATAAGCAGGAGCAGATCAACGTTCGACGGAAGGCGGAGGGTTCGGCTTCGGCTTTCGGGAGTTTTGGCCGAAGAGAGCCGGAAATTAGCCGCAAAGATAAGATAAGATTTCCACCTCTTGCGCTCCTCTTGCGCAGGGACTTACTACGATCCGCGGAAGCGGAATTGTCTTGGCTTCATGAAGTTCTGTTCGTTTGCTGTGTCAAAAGGTTACACATAGGCAACTACCCTAGTTGAGGGTTATGCCGAGTATTCGACTTCGGGTCTGGGCGGATTCTTTAATAACGCTCGAAAAAAATGGAGTGGAAGATGTGAGAGGCGGTATACCCGCGCCATAAGCTTGTTGCAGTGGCGAGCGTAGATACTCCCACGCCAGGTGGTGAACTTGAACCAGGAAATGCGCTCGAGCCCTCGCGGTGCCGCACATCACAGGCAGCGGACGGCGAAATCTATGAGCATTAAACACGGAGAAGTCAGGACCAAGATCAACCAAGTCGACAGCGCAAACAGGTCTCAAGTATAACTCTTGCTAAAGCCACCTCTTTTTTTTTAGCTCTAGCCCCTGTCTCATTTAATTCGGCGATCATGCGATCATCAAAATTTGATTCGGCCGAAATTCCGTCGACGGGGATTTTTTGGCACCATTACCAGTGGAATCTTATCCCTTTTGACAACAGGTGCAGTCCTACCGCTTGACACTCGAATTGCATCAAGAATTTGTATCTGCATAAAAACTAATACAATGCCTCAAAAACTATACATACATGTTTTCAAAGCGAAAGGTCAAGGAAAGACGATGACGACCACAATGAATCAAGATCAGCGCGAAACGAGACGGTGGGTATTTAGTCTTCCGCCAAATAGCGATACTCAAACCTGAAATCGGCCTTCTTTCTTTGACACCACGAGCCCTCCCAGTCGAAGTACACGTATACGCCCTGCTCGTACTCCTCCGTGATTGCTTGAGGCTCCGAGTGTCGCTGGAACCACGTTAGGTACTTGACGTGGAATCGCCAGGACTGGCGCTTCAGCTCTTCCGCCGCGAGATATCTGTGACAAGGCGCATGCGATTCAGCACTCATGAAGGGAGGGGAGGGAGGGACGCACTGCGGATACGACACGGGCAAGAAATAGAATACGTAGAAGAGCGTCTCGACGTCGACGCGCGAGTAGATCGCCGCATTGTTCAGCAGCGGATGTGGCACCTGCGGGTAATATGCTGCCGTCGGGAACGGATTGCGGGGCATGTAGTACTTGGCCCTGCACCGATATGTAAGCGCGCGGAGAGGGTATCGATCGGCGAGAAACGCACTTGACCGTGTCCTGCGGCTGGGGGATGCCCGACAGTCCACCAGCGAGGTACTTGTGCAACTGGTCGACGTTCGCCATCCGCTGGCTCGCTAAGATTTAAGAGGTAAATCGGGAAATGCAAGGTAACAAAGCAGGCACGCACCCCTCTGCTTTGCGCGCTCGAAGGGGAGGACGAGGTCCGCGAGTCCTGGAGGAAACGAGCTCGGCGGAAGGGGTGCTGGTGCTGGTGCTGGTGCTTGTGCTTGTGCTTGTGCTTGTGCTTGTGCTTGTGGCGGGTGGCCGTTGGCTTGTCTGTGACCGCCGATCGTCGACGACCCGGGCGTTGTCTGCTCGCCTTGTGCGATCTTGACCCCGGGAGGGAACTGCGGAACGGTCTGTTGGTCGTTCTCTTCCACTTGTGAATCTTGCGGTGGTGATGGCTCTGGTATCGGACGCTGAAGGCACATAAGATCCTCAATACAAGAACGAGCTTGCTGAGTGCCACATACCGAAATACTGGAGGGCGGAGACGGCGACGGTATGCGAGGGACCGAGGATATTGAGTCTATGGCGATACAGATGGTCAGCCCGCCCCGATTGGATCTGTGAAAGCGCACCTTTTCGAGAGGCTAAAACACGCTGCGGAGAAGAAGTCGCTATAGGTCCACCGACGGAGCTTGGAACCGCTTCTGAAAGGGCGGGAGATTCGTAGAAAGAACTATCTCGCTCGTGTGATACCGATGCATATGAAGACATGGGGCTCGCGGCCGACGGGTGCGTCATACTCGGAGATGAGGGCGCTCCAACTGAGGATGGCGGCGGTGGTATTGCCGATGGAGGTGGTGCTGGTTTTTGTTTCGGTGGTATTGGCGCCGGAGCTGCTTGGGGAGGTTGTGGTGGCGGTTGCTGCACCGCGGCCGAGTATCCTCGTATCGGCGGGAGGGTAACTGGTGGTCGAGGAGCAGCAGGCTTCAGTATGCTTGCCATCGGCTGGACGATAAAGTTTGGTGGTGGTTTCGCTAGAGGTAGAGTGTGAGTCACTAGTAAAACCGATCAAAGGCAGAACGCGCCATCCGACTGTTCTGAGGAACGAAATCAGGACAAGACCGAAGGGGGGTGGACCAAAAACTCACTTCTCAGTTGCACTGTAGTAGCCTTTTTGAGTATTGGGCTTTCAGCACGCTTGCTATTTTCTTCAGAGCCTTTCTTAGCTAGGGGTCGAGGCAGAAGCTCTAGGACGAAGTGAGAGGGCGGACGCCTGGGGGGGGGGGAGTGATATCCACCTTCCATAGCCACTTCAGATTCGTCCCCGCTGTCGTTGTCATCGAGACCGCCTCGGAATTTTTCCTCTTCCTCGTCAAGGTTAAGTTCATCGTAAATTCCCTCGTATTCGGTGAAGTCTTCTTCCTAGCCGGCGATGAGAAGGGTAAGAAAAGAAAAGAAAATCACGCACTGCATTGGTTTCCACGAAATAATGCACGTCCTCTTTAAGCCCAAGAACCTTCTCCGTGTCCAGTGACCCGTTATTGAGTAGTCGCAAAACGATCTCCAGCCGGCTGATATGCCACTTTCGCCGAACATTCAGATGCTCAAGTTCGTCCAGACGTCCTGCTACGGTAGACCCGGCCTTGACTTTCTTCTTAGCCGCGCCTTGTATGGACTCAATTTCTGCTTCTGCCTGCTCGACCTGTATTTGGAGTGTTTCGAGTTGTGTATCCAGCCACTCAATCGCCTCCTGCATTTCCTGCTCCTTGGGATCAAGTTTCACGGCCTCCCCAAGCGCGACATTCGAGAACGCCTTCTTCTTGACCTCCTTCTCGCACGCCTTGAATTTCTCCATTTGCTACGCGTATACATGTAAGACGAGAGGGTCAGACTTGAGGTGCACAGAACTGACCGTCTCAATGAGTTTCCGGTTGTCCAACAACTGAGTCTTGTCCTTAATGTCGTTGCTCGCGACCCAAGCTCTGATCTGGTCCCGTAGGCGCTGGAGTTTCTTGATTTGGTTCTTCAAAGCCGACTCAAGTTTCTCTTTCTGCAGAAACCATCGGTCGTGGAACTCATTCCAAGTGGCAATAAAATCCTACTTGCGCCTGGTTAGTTGCGGCCTGCATTTTGTCATATGTGTTCTCAAATAGTTCGACGCCTTCTGACACTTTCTTCAATGCCTGGTCAATTTCGGCTGGACGCGTCGTTAGCTTGGGTTGGTGGAAATCCTGTCGGCTTACTCTGCAGTTTTCTCTGCCGCCATGATTTGCTCAAGCGACCGCGCGAGTGGAGGACGACAATGTCCGATGTTTGCTCCTGTTAAGGGCAGACGGCGAATATCATCTGATCTTATCTTATCATATCTTGAAGCCCCTGTTCAGCCAACTGACAATGTACAACTAAGGGTCTGCTGTCGCAGCCTCATAACCTTGCTTTGGGCTGAAGGCCACAGCTCGAAGCACAGACACGGTAAAAATATAATATATTAGCAGCGCAACATTACATTACATTTATTCAATTTAGTCACTACAACTTGGGGCCCACGGGCTACGGTAGCAGTACACGTCGGGGGTGGGTATGTATCTAAGAGGTGGTATATATGAATCATTTTTATCAGTCCGAGTGAGAGGGAGAGAGAGGGAAGAAAAGAGGTACACCGCCAAGGTGCGCACATGTCGGTTGACTTGGGTGATAGCCTGTGGCCGCGGCGGCCAAAGCTGGATTCAGCCGTCAATGCTCTGGCCACCAGGTGGGGAGCCCACCTTCACACCACCTTTCCTGCAGCCGATTACTACCTAGGCGAGGAGGTGGTCAACACATTCCTCCGAATATTAATGCATTTGGGAGTTCCTCGGGCTTCTCGGGGAAGTTTCCTTTCTTTCATACCCAGTACATAGAACGGTCAGAAAATTTCTATAGGTAGGAACGATTGTCTTCCTAAAAAAAGTATAGAAAGTCGTTTACAAGACTAGGCCAGAAAATCGAAACGACACATTCAAGTCGAGTGGGAATTTAATAAAGTGTATATACTCTATCGAATGAGAGTTAGATCATGTCTTGACTAGTATATCGGTTTAGTACAGCCGCTTGTCATTTCCGAGCAAGACAATCGTAATGTATTCGCGGCAGAGCTGGGTTCGACTCCCAGGTCGAGAGTTTTTCATTCCTTTTTGTGTCAATTCTTTTTTCTCGTTCCTGGACTTCGAATTTCCCTATCGAATTCCCCTACCTTCACGGCAAGGCCTTTAAATCGGTTGATGGACATTCGCGCTGGAATTTTATTTCCCTGTTCTCCTCCCCATCATTTTGCTGTGCTCAATCGGCTCTATCTCTTGCCACCACCAGATGAACCGCTTGCAGTCCACACCGTTCTAGTCTTGTAGAACCATGGGACTTATCTTTTCAATCGGCCCCCAGTACCATCTTTCTCCCCTTGGAATGGACCCCATGGCATCTATTATAATACGCGTCAACGGAAAACTTCTGCTGCAATGGCCCATTTCGATTCTCGACGTGGCGAGTCTCAATCTATCTCTGTACTCTGCCGCAGGCTCGACCGCACCTTGCCATCTGTTGTTGCCTTTGGCATTACATCCATAAAGGAAACCTCCTTTCGTTCCGTCAACTTCTGGGCTCTGTCATTGAGACTCTCGGCCTGCCGAGTCTCAACGTCCTTACCGGGATGGTCCGCCTGCTCTTGCTTCTCGTGCTGCGATATGTGGATTGGGTCCTCCTGATCTATTCAAGCTCGACGGCCGATGCCACTACCATTGAAAAATCCCATCATCTAAATGAAAACTTCTGTCTGGAATCTGGCCTCGCGCATTTCGATTCTCGACCTGACGAGTCTCAATCTATTCTCAATATTTCCTGACCCGCCTGATTTTGGTTCGTGTGCTATGATCTGTTAAGGCTTTCAATGCGCGGATTCTACCTTTCGAGATGATTCGAAGCGAAACCCACGTCGGATTTCAATGAAAGTTTCCTTTCGACCGCGCGGTCGCGTCGCCAAAGATTGTGGTCAGACCGGTATGCACTCACACTCTTCAAGATACCGCGCTTTAATCTTGCCAATAGTCAGGCCGTGGAATGTTCGAAGCGCGATAACAAAGAAGGGAGCCGGGGATACACCTCTAGTTGGCCTCAAAATACTCTCAATCTCTCTCACTCGACAAAAGTTGCCACCAACGCTAGCTTCCCCGCCTTTAAAAGCCGGCCCTTCTCAATCCGCTCCTGGACATATTTTACGCCCAGCCACGGGTCCGCGTCGCCGTCTCAGCAGATGTTCAGATATTCCGACGTTTTTCATATCATCGTCGTTCGCCGCTCTTCCACCCTCGCACTCACGCGCGCGCCATTCTCGGACTCGAAAACCCCGCCGGAAGCGCTGCCGCGCAAAGCCTGTCTGACTCGCGCGCACGCTCTGTCCATCGATGCGACCACGAGCTGCCGACGGCGCTCCCACTTCTGGCATTCCTCCCTGATATCCTCGCGCATCTGCCATCCTGGGCGCATAACAGCGACGGCTTCTGATTCTGCGGTCGCGGTACCTTGAGTATATATAACCGCGATGGGATTGGCTCGACCAGTCCCTTGGAATAATCGTATCCTTTGTCTCGTGTGCTCCCTCTTTGCGGGCACGACGCACTTTATCACTGCGCACTAACCAAATGCCGCCTACAATGCCAAGATGTACTTCGAACTCAACGCCACCAACACTGATATGCAGCAACACGACCCTTTACGTGAAATCACAACCCAGGCTATGGCGGGATTTGTCTGAGGCTCGACAGCACCAGATCCTCTCTACCTCCCTCTCTTCCTGCTTCCCTTTGCCAAGTTCAACCCTTCTCACCCTGCGCTCGCTCGCATGGATTTACCGAGCAACACTTTCGGCTTGTCGCAAAAGTTGCACCGTCGGCTCACCCTGCTGACCGCCGCCGATAATCAGAATTCGCAATAATTGCGAGAACGTTCGTCCCCGACGCGTCGCATCCCACAAACGTCACTTATGACGCGCCCTCCATCTGCCAGAGCCTCGCATCCCCATCTTAAAGCAAGTCGTTCCTGCCCAACCATTTATCGTCTCCCGTCAACGAGGCGCAAATCCTCGTATCCGCACATAGCCTAAGCGTGGATCCTCAGGCGTCCTCCCGCCGTGGATCCTCAACGCCTCACCCACCGGCCCAATCCACAAACACTGTCTTACTCACCAACCGACCGGTATCCTTACCAAAACAAGCCCTTCTCCCGATCCGCGTCGGGGAGAATCCCTTCCCTTACTCACTGGATTCTCCCGATTCTGTTTCGGTTTCTGTCTCCTGGACCTTTCCCATCCATCCACCAATCCATCAACGCCTCAAAGTCTCCGCTCTCGTGCTCTGTACCTTCTTTTTCGCGCGGTCGACCTCCTTGCCGACGGTCCCCAAGTTTCGCAATCGGAAAATCTTCCACGAGCTCAACCTTTGCTTTGTTTTGCTTGCCGCTGTCTTCCCACTCCACATCCACATTGCTCATTGCGCGCAGTCCTGCCCAGCCTCGTTTTGTGTATAATCCCGCTTATCCTGTTCTGTTCCCGACAACGGAATGCTCCCGTAACCTACGTACATCCTTCTTCGTCGAAATCCTAATCCCGAAAGTCAACGTCTTGAATCCCTACGTCTTGAATCCCTACTTCCAGAACACGATTCCACCAAAAACCAAAAACGCGCGCGACAAGTACAACAAAAATAAATTAACACTGCGCCCGCTCGGCAGTCTGTCCGTACTGTACAATGAATGATTCAAACGTCAATAACTCAAGCATGCAAATAACTACTGTATATGTATGTCGCGCGGCGCGCGCAACGTCCGCTCGTCGTATATATATATATGTGTGGAAAGTGTCTCTGCTCTAGCTCTGCCCTGCTCGGCCTGTATGGTGGACTCGAGGGCGGAGGGAGCGAGATGTACGTCGTCGGGAAAATGTGTGTATAACTAAACTGTATATCAAAAAATATTGTCCGTCTGTCTATCCATGTCCGTGTCCGTGTATGTATCAATATCATATCGTATTTTGTATCGTACACCGCCGAGATGAGATAAGATGAGATGAGGAGGGGATGGTACATATGCAGCAGATTCAGATAAGATATAAAAAGAGACCCAATGAAAAAAAGAAATAGGTCGTAGTGGTACACACAACAAGTCTGGGTGGGCGGTGGTGGTACATGCAGACACAAGAAAGAACGAGGGTGAGGGAGGGGCGAAGAAGGCCGGCCATGAGGGATAAATAAACAAGATGAGATGAGACGGGTGAGGGCGAGCAGTAATCCAGATCGTCCGCCCGCCCTGCCCATGGCGCTAAACGCGCCTTTTGGTGTTTTGTTGTGGGAGGCCAGTCGTCGGTCGAGCAAGCCCACTCATAAGCAGGAGCGAGCGCGGCCCAGCGTGTATCGGCGGCGCGGCGCGGAGCTCCTGCCCGTCGCCGTCATCGCAGCGTCCTCGTCCTCTCCTCTCGAGTCGCGGTCATCGTCGCAGTAGATCGTAGCATTTTCGTATCAGTGATGTTTTGAGTGCTCTGCGCGACCGCGTTTTGCTGCTCGTAATTCATTTTTCGTTTTTCAGTTTCATCTTCGTTTTCAATGTCGTCTCGTTCGTCGCGTGTCGTCCATAAATAGTCGTTTTCGTCCCCCAACTCACACCCCCACCTTCGCACTCCCCGCCCCACTCCCACCCTGTTCCGGCGCCGGCAAAACACCACTGCCGCACAAACGCCTTGTACACGCTCGACGACGCGTCCGCCGCGCTCGGCGACAGCGGCGACGCCGCCCCGCTCGTCGTCGGCGACGGCGAGCCGGGTATGACGGGCGAGTTCATCGCGGGCGAGCCGGACCCAGACGCAGGCGGGGACGCGGGCAGCGGGACCCGCGTCGGCGACGCCGGTTCCTCGGCCTCGCGCAGCCCACGCGGAATCAACGAGTCCTCCTTGCTCCCCTCGTCATGCTCGTCCTTCGACGCCCCCAACACATCAACATCCGGCAGCGCCCCCCGCGCACCGAGCGGACTCGTCGGCGGCGTCTCCTCGCCTTCGCCTTCGTCATCGCGCGCGCGCAGCAGCGTCCGCGGGTCCCGGACGAACGACGCCAGCGACGCAATCGAGCTCTGCGCGTCTCCGTCTTCGTCTTCGTCCTCGGTCGAGTCGTCGTCCGAATCCGTCGCCCGCTTGGACCACGTGTGTCTGAGCCGGAGTGGAAGGAGCGGGGGAACTCGAAGTAGAAGTAGTCGTCGTCGTCGTCGTCGTCGCGGAAGGAGCGGGGGAAGCAGGCGCCGCGTCCACAGTAAGCACAGGCGCCGCCGGCGTCGCAGCCGCGGCCCCCCGCCCCCACGGCCAATAAAGCCCCACCCCGCCCGCGCTCTGCGTCCCCGGCGCCTGCTTGCCCTCCTTCTCCTTCTCCTTGCTCCCCTCCTTCTCCTTCTCCTCCTTCTCCTTGCTCCCCTCCTTCTCCTTGGTGTTCTCCCACGCCAGCACCTGCAACCCCGGCCCACTCGGGAACGACACCGTCCGCGCCACACTCGGCGCCGCATAGTTCCTTAGGCTCAGCCGCGCGAGCTTGGCCGCGAGCGCCTGCGCGTGCGCGGTGCGCGGCGGCGGGGGCGGGGGGATGGGGTTCGTGGTTGTGTTCGTATTTGTGGTGGTTGTGTTCGTGGTTGTGTTTGTGGTGCCGTTGGCATTCGCGCTGGAGGCGGCGGCGGCGGCGGGGGCGCGGGAAGGCGACGAGTCCGGGTGTCCGTTGAGGTACGACGGCGGCGGGCCTACCGTGGTGTCGATCGACAGCGACGGCGCTACCCCGTCGGAGGAGGTGGGGAACGGGATATCGTTCGTCGGCGTCGGCGTCTGCGGTATCGTCGTCCCTGCCATCGCTGCCGCCGTTGTCGCTGCCGCCGTTGCTGCAGTCGTCGTCGTCGCTGCCATCGCTGCCGTCACTTCTACACCAAAAAAAAAAAAAGTCGTCAGCACACCGCCCGCTCACTTCGAACAGAACACAAAGCAAAAAAGAAGCAGAACAAAACGCACCCTCTTCCACGACCCGAAACCCCACCCGATAGTCCCTCCCCCCATTATTATCCCACCACTCCCCCGCGCCGCCCCCGCCCGTGCCCACCCACGCGCGCCC